TTTCCACTAGATTCGTTCATTTCGTACAAAAATGTGTCGAATGACTCTAATTTCATCAAAATCAGTGAATAGTAGGCTCGTATCATCCATAATTACAAAAAAAGTAATGATTTTTTATCGTTGCTGTTACAGCCTACCCTCCGTAGAAATATAATTTTACTTTTTTTTTTTGTCTTTTTGTTTCGCGCTGAATTATTTTTCATTATTTAATCTCACATCGTCTATCTAAGGTATTATTCTATTAATTAATTGTGGATATTTTTAGCGAGAAACTTATTAGGAGTAGTATGATTCTGTCATGCCGACACCGCATGATACGTGTGTCGCGTGAGTCAATCGAAGCACCCGTGAGGCGCATGCCACTTGCCGATGTACGAGGGTGGTCCCAGAAGTACCCGACCTGACGTACAGATGGCGGTTGTTGTATAAAAAAAATCACTGTAGGGGAAAGCACCAACTTTCTAAAGCTTAACTATGAAGTTTGAAAACGCTACGTTGTTCAGTATTTGTTTGGCAGCCATCAATAGTGGACGATCTCGGTGAATTTGCAAAGATGGAAAAAATTGGCCATCGTTATATGATACAATACTTTCATTTGAAAGGTCTTAGCCCAACCAATATCAAAGCCGAGCTGGATTCTACTCTGGAAGAGTCTGCTCCTTCGTTTACCAACAATAAAATATTGGGTGGCAGAGTTTAAACGAGGCCGTACGAGCTGCGAAGACGAACATCGCAGTGGTCGATCAAGTGAGGTGGCCATTCCAGAAATGGTGAAGAAAATCCACAAAATGGTATTGGGTGACCGTCGATTGAAAGTGCGCGAGCTAGCAGACATGGTAAACATTTCAAAAAGTGCTGTACATCGCATATTGGCTGAAAATTTGGAGATGAGAAAGCTGTGCGCAAGGTGGGTGCCGCGCTTGCTCACAATCGAACAAAAGCCAGCGTCGAGAGAGTTTCAATCAAGTGTTTGGCGATGTTTCGCAGCAATAAAGCCGAATTTTTGCGCCGATTCATAACCATGGATGAAACATGGGTCCACCACTTCACACCTGAAACGAAGGAACAGACGAAGCAATAGACTGAAAAGGGGGAATCGGCTCCGAAGAAAGCAAAAACAGTTCCATCGGCAGGCAAGGTCATGGCGTCAGTTTTCTGGGATGCGCGTGGCATAATTTTCATTGATTACCTTCAGATAGGAAGAACAATCAATGGCGAGTATTATGCGAACTTATTGCAGCGTTTGGATGATGAAATCAAGGAAAAACGGCCACATTTGGCGAAAAAGAAAGTGTTGTTTCATCAAGACAATGTATGGATGTAGTTCACACATCCATTATCGCGATGGCCAAAATCAATGAGTTAAAGTTCGAATTGCTTCCCCACGCACCCTATTCGCCAGATTTAGCCCCCTCGGATTATTTTCTCTTTCCAAACTTGGAAAAATGGTTCAGTGGTAGAAAATTTACCAATAATGAAGAGGTGGAGTCTGCGGTTAATGGCTATTTTGAGGAGTTCAACGGTTCTTACTATTATATAAACAGGCCATCGAAGCTATTGAACATCGCTGGGAAAAGTGTATCGAGCTAAAAGGAGACTATGTTGAGAAATAAAGATATTTTTTCCCAAATTTTTTATGTTTTCTTTGTTAGGTCGGGTACTTCTGGGACCACCCTCGTATTGCGACGAAAGGCAGGATAACGCGATGTTAAGAAATCGTTCCCATATGTTGAGACTGTCATCCTACACAAGATTTAAGAAAAACTAATCGAAACACCTCAATGCTAATCTCTCAAAATAAGAATAAGTTATCGCGTACCAATCACGGTCCGCGACGCGCGTGTCGCTCGTCACTCTTTAATGGGATTTCAGCCGCTCTGGCTGAGAATACTGTTAATTTCTTAATCTCGCGTTATGTTTAATACATTTTTTGTTTGATTTACTTTCGACCATCGTGACCACCTGAAACAGATAAGTAAACGCGAATTTATCGCGTTAATAAGCGCCGACTAATCGAGAGTCGGGAAAGGAGCACCGCGGATCACAGAAAAAAGCCCAAAATTGATTTTGTTAATTATTTTTAAATTCCATCAATTAACACAGAACTAATTTGATCCGTCAGTTTTACATTAAATTTATGGCAATTATGCCGAATTTTAGCCTAGGACTAATATTTCCATATGAAAAATTATTTTCCAAATTCGGCACGTATTGCCAATTCCTGGAAATTCGAGCTTCCCCTTCTTCTCGACTCGCGAGCGCCACCAATTGGCGCCTATATAAACGGGGCGAAAATCGAGCTCGTCAGCAGCGAGTCGCGACGAAAGATCTTTCGTCTGGCGAGAGATCGACGCCGCGTTTGAAAGCAGTATATTGACGGGTGCAGTGGTCAACGTCGATTACATTGAGCCGCGGCGGTTTTTGGAAGACGCGAGAGAAATAGTGCTCGAACGTGTGCGAGACACCGTAGAAAGACACGATAGTGCAAAAATGAACACTGCGTTCAATGGCGAGTTTATGACAAACATCAAATGTGATATTAAAAGTATAAACATTAAGAACCGAGAGATACACCGATTTGCGCGAGTAGTACGAGCAGCATATCATCGAACCCATGTTGACATCACTCAAAGAGTTCCAGGAACGCGACAGCGGGTGGGCATTGTCGCGAGTCCTCAATTTGGTAGTGAATGTGAACAAACTAAATCCCATGCGCGCGGGTTGTTACTTCGAGGTGCCGCAAGAAATATCGACGAAACGAGCGGTGATCAATGTTAGTACGACGGACAATGCGTGCTTCGCGTGGTCGGTGGTTGCCGCTCTGTACCGAGCTGAAAGTCATGTGGATAGAAAATCGTCGTATCCGCATTATACGGCGGTGCTGAATCTCGCGGGTATCGAATTTCCGATAACGTTCGAAGACATTTCTAAATTCGAAAATCTCAACAACATATCAATCAATGTGTACAGCATCGAGAATAAACAAGTTCTTCCTCTGCGGCTCACCAGTGACAAGAAGGACAAGCATGTCAATCTCCTGCACATGCAAGATTCATGCAACGACAACATTAAACACTTTGCGTGGATCAAGAACCTGTCGCGTCTCGTGAGCTCGCAACTAAGCAAAAAAAAGAACAAGAAATATTTCTGCGATCGGTAAGTACACATAAAAAATTATTATAATTTCCCATCTTATTAATAAAATATAGATAAATGCTATAATTTTTTGTTTTTTGTTTTCAGATGCTTGCATTACTTCAGCACGAATGAGAAATTGCAATCACACACAATGGACTGCCAGAAGATCAACGATTGCTCTATTCGACTGCCGAGCGAGGACGAAAAGTGGCTCGAATTTGGGAACTTCTGCAACAAGGAGCGCGTTCGTCGTCTACGCCGACCTGGAGTGCATTTTACGGAAGACGGAATCCGACAGGGAAGATGCGTCGTCGTATGCGTATCAACAGCATGAGGTATTTAGCATAGGCTACTATGTGCGTTGCTCGTACGATGACGCGTTATCGTCGTACCAGTTCCGTCCCGATAAAGACTGTATAGCGTGGTTCGCGCGACAACTGAACGATTTGACACACCGCGTGAAAAATATTGTATCCGTCAACGTGCCCATGGAAACGTTGTCGAAAGGACAATGGGAGGCATACCATAGCGCGACGCGTTGTCACATTTGCAAGAAACCGTTTGCGTCGGACGACACGCGGGTACGCGATCATTACCACTTAACCGGTAGATACCGCGGTCCAGCGCATTCAAACTGTAATTTAAATTTAAAAAATTCATTATACAAGATATTCCGATTGTTTTTCACAATTTATTGGGTTACGACGCGCATTTCATAATTAAGGAAATCACTACAGCATATGAAGGACGCATAGATGTATTACCGATAACCAAGGAAAAACACATCTCCTTTACAAAACATGTCGATAACACTAAAGATAAAACTGAAAATAATTCTCAAAGAAATTGTGTAAAATTACGTTTTATTGATTCTTTCAAATTTCTCAATACAAGTCTCGATAAATTAGCGTCGTATCTCAATAAAGACAAATTAAAAATTATACGTTCAAAATTTTCAACACGATCGGATGATAAATTTGAATTACTGACTCGTAAAGGTGTCTTTCCGTACGAGTACGTTGACTGTGCCGAAAAATTGCAGGACACGCGCTTACTGCCGCGCGAATCTTTTTACAATTCGTTAACGGGCGATACCGTATCCAAGAGCGATTACGCTCACGCGGCGAACATATGGCAGCGATTCTCCATCCGAACGCTCGGCGAGTATAGTGATTTGTACTTGAAAACCGATGTCTTGTTATTAGCTGACATTTTCGAAAATTTCCGCGAAAGCTGCGTCGCAAGTTACGGTCTCGATCCAGCACATTATTACACCTTGCCTGGTTTCATGTGGGACGCGATGTTAAAACATACGCGTATAAAATTTGAGTTGCTCACTGATATTGACACGATCATGTTCATAGAGCGCGGTATACGCGCGGTCTCAGTCAATGTTCAGGTAGATACGCGCGGGCTAATAACAAGTACATGCATTCGTACGACCCGTCGGAACCGTCGTCGTACTTGATGTACTACGACGTTAACAATTTATACGGATGGGCGATGTGTCAACTATTGCCATACGCCAAATTTCAATGGGTCGAAGACGCTGCAAACTTTGATGCGAGCGCGATCGCTCTGGATTCGCTCACCGGTTACATTTTTGAAGTCAATCTCGAGTATCCGCAGCATATACACGACCGACACACTGACCGTTCTGTCCAATGCGCGATAAGCCGCCCAGCAAGCGCGAATATAAACTTTTAGCGACGCTGTACGATAAACAGCGTTACATCATCCATTACCGCAATCTGCAGTAATGTACTCGTCACGGTCTTCGCGTAACAAAAATCCACCGGGTGCTACAATTCGCGCAATCTCCATGGCTTCGCGATTACATTGAACTTAATACAAATTTCAGAATGTGTGCGAAAAACGATTTCGAAAAAAATTTGTATAAATTAATGAACAACGCGGTATTCGGTAAAACTATGGAGAATGTGCGCAACCACGCCGACGTAAAATTATTAACAAAATGGGATGAACGGTACGGTGCGGAGGCAATGATTGCAAAACCAAATTTCCTCAGCCGTAGCGTCTTTGCGGAAAATTTAATAGCCGTCGAACTGCGCAAACTCGAGGTGAAGTTCAACAAACCGATTTACGTGGGTATGTGTATACTCGACATATCGAAAGTTTGCTTGTACGAATTTCACCACGAGTATATGTTACCATTGTTTCACGACAAATGTAAAATAATGTACACCGATACAGACAGTCTTATATACTCGTACCGAGTCGAGTGCGAGGATGTTTACAAAACTATGAAACGCGATATCGCTAGATTCGACACGAGCGATTATCCGACGGACAACGCGTACGATGTACCTCTCGCGAACAAAAAAGTACCCGGTCTCATGAAGGATGAAAATAACGGTGCGATAATGACCGAATTCGTTGGTCTCAGAGCGAAGATGTACGCTGTGAGGGTGGACGGCAAGAAGGACACTAAAAAGGTGAAAGGCATAAAGAATAACGTCGTAGCGCAAACGATAACGTTCGATGATTACACGCGATGTTTGAACGAAGAGATCGAAATGACTCGTCGTCAATCGTGTATACGATCTAAACTGCACGAGGTATACACGATATCCGAATCGAAAATCGCTCTGAGTCCATACGATGACAAACAATACGTCGTACCGATTTCGACGAAGACGTTACCGTGGGGACATTGGCGGATACCTTTGTAATATATGTACATATCAACATTTATATTATATTTTTACATTTTTTTATGTTTTCATACAGCGTATATGTATTACTATTATTATGCTTTATGTATTATCTTAATTTGTACTACTTTGTGTATGTCTTTTTACATTTTTTTAAATATTCTCATACAATCTACATACCTGTTACTATTATGTACTATTATCATTATAATTTACGCATTATGTTTTTACGTTGTATATAAGTATTACTATTATGTTTTATGTA